GCTTGTAATGGGGTGAACTAAGCAGAATAATAATACATGCAGTCGTGTAGTTTAAAGTACTTCAACCCTTTCTGAGTGATAAGTGCTTTCGGATCTCAAGTCCTATTTGAATACTGTCGATCAGCAGTTCAGAGAACAATCGCAATCAGCTGGCATGATTGAAAACAAAACTCGTAGAGCTTTGGCACGGATTTACTGTTTGTCAATTGCCTGACCCACTAGTGAGCAAACACTTAAAGGTATGGAAGTTACTAAAACGGAACCAATGAATAATAGTCTTTTTTCCTTGAATATACAAATGTACAATCATCATTCGGGAAGGCGGGCTGCGGCCATACAAATCTGCTGGGGGAAAATACAGAAATAGGGAAGACGGGCGGCGGTGGAGCGGTTCGAACTCAGGTCACAAGTTGGTGACCTAAACACTTGGCCAGCACCTCGTGGCTGTTGGAGACTAAGCAATCGAGGTTCATAAAGCGATTAATTGACTTGAATTAATAAACCATCCAGGTAGTCCTTACAAATAAACCCCATTAAACACAGAAGGTAGAACCCATTCTATAACACAAAGTCAACTTCCTAACAGCGTCTCAGCCAGCGATCGCCATGGCGAAGTCACTGTCACATGCCCGCTCCTGATATGGGGTTGGAACCCTACCATCGTCTCTATACTTTGGTGGTAGGCAGCATCTTTTTCGGCCGTCCAATAAAATGCCTATTCTATTGGAGCCTTAATTGGTTCGATACTTCAAATAATAGGACTTAGATTACCCGCTCCCACAACCATACTGTAGGTCTTCACGATTGTGGGGTTCATCTCCTCTGCATTTCATTATATCAAGTCGTGTAGGAAAAACAGATTAACCAAAATTGAGGCCCAGATTTACGCGTCTCATAGTCATCGGGAAGAAACACTAGGATGTACCCCCCTTCCGTGATAATTGTATGATATTGTTTATCGTTGCTCGCACAATAAAGTCTTATACTGTATTTTTCTTTACCTCAACGCCACATGCTCCGAGCGCCATTGTCATCCGGTCCATGCGGTTGCGGCGTAACATGATTTTCCACCGGAATTTGTTGAGGCTTTGGTTACTGGTTCTCACAAACATACGACAGGATCTTGTGGTTATTCTGGATATATCACTTGAGCTAGGTTTTACGCTGCGTTCAGTTATAATGGTGGTTCTATTACCTGTGTCTATCTACGTGCCTGTTAAATACATACCTTTGAGTATGTGTCAGGATATATAATACTATCTATGGGAATAAAGGCAATCAACCACTATCCGTTCGATATACGGGATTCTACTCCACACGTGTTTGGATCCAGGCAGGGTCAAACGAAGGTTGTTTTTCTTGCATGGAATGCTGCTAATTGGTCCAGGTTAAAACAGGCTAATTTTCTTCGAGAATTCACATCCAAAGGATTCAGTTAGCCTAAGCCCATTTCTCAGCCTAACCGGGCGGTGTGTGAACACCACAATCTATTGGAACCCATGTCCGATTAATTGAATCTTCGAACGGGATTCAACGTCAAAGTTGTCCTATACCGTTGCATCAGCACTTCTGAGATCCCACTATAGTCATTTTCCAAAAAGCCTAGGTCGAAATCGCGGGTTTGCTACTACTAGGTTCAAACTGCCAAACAATCATTAGTAGCAATGTGCAATACTTTGTATGCAGGAGTACAACGGATGTTTCTACTTGAGCATGTCACTATTTCAATGTCTTGGATAGATATACCTATATATGTACAAGAATCTTCACAACTTTAATCTGTTCTAATCGTCTCTGAAGCTTTGAATTGCTCTAAAGATTGGTTGTGGAATCGTTGTAAGTGAAGCCTTGAAGTTTGCATTTTAGGGTTATTCTCAGAGAGACTTGTTCCGTATGCGATGTTTTGAGTGTTGTTAACTGTTACTTGTTTTCCTTCCTACCTTGGTCTGGGCAACCCGTTAGTATCCCGCCCACACAAATCATGGAGATTTCTCATTTTTATAAAGGCCGTTGTGCTATCATTTTTCTGGTATACAGTCTGGATTCGGGCGTGTCTAAAATACGTTTACCACAAGTGGTTGCCTCCACAAAATTCACAATCCGGTTACTTATTGGGACGCCATTGTTTCCTCATTCCAGATTCTGTTTATCTTATTCAGAGATTGCGGATAATCCGGACATTTCAATGGATCCTACCTTTTGGGATTGTTTGCACCTTCAGTTCATCCTACCCCCGGTGTTTGATATTGTTTTCTCCAAACATACCTGTCTTGGTTACGATCGTATGTTTCGCTATTTGGCCGCGACTCGACGCGCACAGGTCTCATTGCAACAGTTCTGGGCTGATCAAACGGCACTGTGGCGTCGTACTCATTCCCGTGAACAATTTACTCGACAAAACGCCCTCGAGACTATGCCAGTTTGTTCCCAGTCAATCACAGATCGTCGGCTCTTGGTTCGTAATCATATGGCATTCATTGTGGAGAACATCCAATACTATTTACAGGTTCGTCTAGCGTGTAACATTTATTTCATTTTATTGTTATCAGTAATTGCTCGATTAAACTGTTTTCTGGATCAATTAGTGAAAGTTTTGTGTAATTTAAAGTCCAGGTATGTGTGTGTGTGGGGGGGTATGTCATTTTCATCCTCATTCCACATTTTTCGAGCCAAGTATTTTTCTTTCCACATACAACTGTGCCAGTGAGGTACAAGCACTCACGATAAAATATCACTGGCGCGATTGCCAAGCGTTGCTCTAAATATGAATGCCTGATGAGCGACATGCATTGCGAAAACTGGAAGGCTTCACTGGGATCTCCAGAGCCAAATAATGTTACGGACACTGTTTGCAATCTTATTCGTGAAGATCTTCATAGATCATTAGGATTTCCACTAAAGAGCCGTTTCTTCAGCACCGTGTGCTACTGTACGATTATAGTGTTGACGCTTTAGTCCTCGTAGACATACCCACCCTACTCATTAATTCTTATCTTTCAATGTTAAATTTTATTCAAGACCCGGAGGTTATGCTTCAGGTAACAAACATATTTAAGTCTCACTTTTTTTGCACCACCGCCATACTCTACTACTTTATCGTAGTTACTTCATCTACCAGTCACAATTCGTATATACTTCTAATTCCATCTATCATATTGACAAAACACTATAGATCATTGGCTGTTTAGGTTTAGCATTCCTATACTGTTATTTTACGGTCTTTACCGGGTTCAACTTATACAGTGGAATAAACTTGAAAAAGCTTACATGGATTCGCCTTAGAATGTCAGGCTTTATTCTTTGAGTGCTAAATTCGTTCCTCCTTGATAGCGATTGCCATGACGACTCTTGTAATTATTGCTTATCTCTGTTTGGTGCTCAGTCTTTGCGTGCTGTCCCATCAAACACAACACTCTGTTGTTACCTGTCTGGTCGACTACATGGTTCGCGTTTCAGTCAGCTTCCGTTCACGGCATCTGTCGTTCCATTGCAAAATTGTCAATCTCGTTTTGTTGCACAAATTGGACAAAATTTACAACACTACCTGTAACTCCCCTACTGCAGATCTGAATAAGATTATAACCACTCAGTAACGGTTCCGCTTCTCAATCACATGTGCTAATTCCCTGTTCNTGTTACCTGTCTGGTCGACTGCATGATTCGCGTTTCAGCCAGCTTCCGTTCACGGCATCTGTCGTTCCATTGCAAAAATTGTCAATCTCGTTTTGTTGCACAAATTGGACAAAATTTACAACACTACCTGTAACTCTCCAACTGCAGATCTGAATAAGATTATAACCACTCAGTAACGGTTCCGCTTCTCAATCACATGTGCTAATTCCCTGTTCTTATCTTTATTTTCTTCATACACACGATACCACCTAGGTGGATGTGATCGACTCCCAGTTCTGTAATTTACTAGATCGTATTCAGTCTGATCGGGAAGCCGATTTGGTCCAAGTTGCCCATGAAGCTTATCTCGTCAGCCTGCAGGCTCAGTCGCTTCTGTTTCAACCAACAGCGCGACCATGCATTATTCGCCTGCTTTCGGTCTGTCAGCAGTTTGTACATGTCACGAGCCAGTCTCCGCATAGTGTATCCGACTTAGAGGAGCGTTTGATAAATGATTTTCAACAACTCTCGGCCAGCCTGTTTCACTACTTGGAGATTTCTCGTGCAACGGGAATCCCTGCTCCCGGTGTTGGATTGGACGCTGCATCTTCCGCGTGCCGTTTCGACCAGGTCACTCGGCTCTCCGCGGATTTGGGTCAGTTGTTGTTGCGTTTGGATTTCAATCACTTCTATAGCCGTACTCACGGCGACTTGGACGTCGAACGATCGAATTCTGTGGCATGGACTAATGATGTAGAAATTGCCTTAGACTCTAGATAATTGTTGCTCTACATGGATTGACAGTCACTTGGTGCTTGCCTTATATCTGACTCACCTTCAATCTGGAACCATGTCTTTCTGTTTTTCACCGTATTGCATTTTCTACTTNCGTGCAACGGGAATCCATGCTCCCGGTGTTGGATTGGACGCTGCATCTTCCGCGTGCCGTTTCGACCAGGTCACACGGCTCTCCGCGGATTTGGGTCAGTTGTTGTTGCGCTTGGATTTCAATCACTTCTATAGCCGTACTCACGGCGACTTGGACGTCGAACGACCGAATTCTGTGGCATGGACTAATGATGTAGAAATTGCCTTGGACTCTAGATAATTGTTGCTCCACAAGGATTGACAGTCGCTTGGTGCTTGCCTTATATCTGACTCAGCTTCAATCTGGAACCATGTCTTTCTGTTTTTCACCGTATTGCATTTTCTACTTTTTGTACATATACCAATATAATCAGATGTCTTCGTGCATGTTTGGAGCCTTCTGAGATCGGGAATTTTCCATTCAAAGTAGGGGGTCATTAAACAATATAATCTTTATTTTTACTTACCAGTGCACATTTGCCATTATACCATCCTGCCTAGATGGCGCCATTTAAAATTAGTTGCACAATATATTCTTGGTGTCAGTGAGTGGTGATCACGGTGATCATGAGTGGATCATACGCAAAAAGAAGCTTTTTTGGGTCAGATAAGTTAGTACACTTTTCTGTGCACATTTTACACACGCGGTATGAAGTACTGTTGTAAACTATCTGATCGTTGGATCTTCTCTCTTTGAGGTTTGATGGTCATGAGCAGAATCATTTTCTACTTTCGTCGGTGAACATTTGCTAGATCAACGAGGATATTGTCGTAACAGGAGTGATGGCAGGCGTTTAGAAAACTGGAGTGGCGTACGCTAGGGGGGAACAACGTGACTGTCTTTGTGATTATTGTCTGCGATGTGATCATTTTTAATTCTCGACGAAAATAATCCCCCGAGACTTCTTGGGTTAAAGGCCCCATTTCTATACAGCCTTTCGGAGTATGATGAAGAACAAACTGAATTGTTCAGTTATTTCATCAGTCACCATAATTAAATAGAAAATCAGTGTCAGAATGTTACTGGAACTTGGCTACGCATTGTATTCGATTCGTGTACTGCGAACCATGGAAACGGGATAGCTCTCCAAATATTTATAAACGAATAATCCAATCCTTCGTTCAGATAGTGAAAATGAATGCAACGAAAATATCTTCCGAATTGCAATCTCTTCATTGCAGGATAAACATACCTGGAATTCAGTTGGAAAGTTGCCGCTTGTGGTTGAACTACTCATAAGTAATTCACGGACTATGACAGCTCGAAGTTACTTTATAAAACACGAGGGTTTCACTTCAACAGGTTATAGGTACTCAACTTCGCAATGTTTCCCACTGAGTTGCACCCCTAACGATTAGTGCTTTGGTGAGCGAAGCACGGTGCTCACAACGAGCTACCAAAAACGACTGATCATCTGTGTAATGGTCAAGTTGGCGGGATCTGTGAGTTCCTGGGTCTGATCCTCAGTTAAGCTAATGGATTACCACTACTGTTCAGAGCCTGACATTCAGAAACAGTCGTTACTATTTTTTCACCCTCGAAAGTTAAACTCTGTGCAAGTGGATGCGTCCCCTGGTTGGGGATTGCGGATCGGCCACCGGTGTGGTGGTAAGATAAAACTGAGCTCACCAACTAAGCGGTCGCGGACAATCCGGTGCATGGCTCGAGAACAGTAGACTTTTTCCTTATCTCGCTCTTTCCACTGCATGACACCACACATTTGTCGACTTCACTGCGACGCAGCGATCCCTTTCAGTCATTAGGTAACAACGAATGCATTGCACAGCAGGCAACTGGCTCATCTATAATAACCCTGCTATCTTTCTCAATTCGTTGGGGGTATGTAAAGGCCTGGGACCGAACCTCACACAGTTAGGCTGGGTGAGGTGCCATTAATCCACCTTCAATTCCGAATCGGATTAGTGAGTAGTCTAGCAGTTCTGAACGGTACTGGGGATTCCGCTCTGTATTCTATGAACTGTGAGGATTTTTCCCAATATTCTTCCTAATAAAGCAGAATGCTGGTGATTGTCAACAGTTGTAAGTCGAAGTGACGTGGTCTTGTAGCTCGTCACACCATTTCCAAACTTGCATCAAGTATCTTCCTAAAGAGAAAGGAAAGCTGATGAAGTGTTCGTCGATCTAATGAACAATAAGGGTAATGAAATATCGGTATTTAAAACGTGTTTACTTTGTCTAATGATCTGTTTTCCATGCGGAGTAATCAGTAGCTTGTGGATTAAATGTCTTACCGGTTCGCCACGCCTATAAGGCACAACTTGGTTAGGGTCAAGGTGATAATCAAGGTCTGTTTGAAAAGAACAGACGTAGTCCGTTCAGTGCCCATCATGAAATTATATTTCTTCAGGCGGGTGTTTGGGCTCATCGACTTAGAGCATACAGACTGGCCGCAACAAGGATACTACGCCGGGAATGTCGGTGGAAAACATTCTGCAGTCGTACGTCATTTGGATGTTTTCATTGCACTCACAATTTCGTTTTATGCGGTGATAACGCCATAAGGGTCCGCTTCGCGTTTGTTCGGATGTATCTTCGTCTCTAACTTCAGATGATTGTGCGGTCTGTGGTTGTCTTACTCTAGTTACTGTTTTAACGCACCTTGTTAAAAACCTGGCGTCAATCATACTTCATGCACACAATTGGCGTTGCATCCCTGTCATGCCTCGGCAAGTTAACTGTGAACGATTCGTTGTTGAAAACTGGACACTATTCTGATCCCTTGGAGTTCTCGTTATACATGCATTAATGATATGGCTTTTTATCTGTCCGTAGTCAAAGCAGGTGTGATAGGTGTTTTGTAACCGAGATTATTGTACCATTACTTCACTAGGATGGCTATACTTGATCGAAAAGGAATGGATTAAGTAAGTGTTATTCAGGTGGCCAGAATTTTACCTGACGCAATCAAAAACTTGAATTTTGCTTCGCATTCATCTGTCCCTTTTAATGCTAAGTTCATTTGTTTATACACAGGTTTAGTAAACACCGCGCACAGTTATATTAATTAGTTCTGTTAAGATTTTTGCATCTAGCCGAGGTGAGGTCGCGTACATAGATTCCACGTTTTTGGAGGTTCTCGAGTTTAGCTGTTGACTCAATATGACGGAGGGCATGCGTGTAAAAGGACGTGACAAATAGAATCGGGCAATAAAGCGAATGCTCAACTTTGGCCCACACTGGAAGCCGTCAGGAATTATGCTGTACCGTCCACCATCATGATTTCTTGGGGCAACATGCTTGTTAAAACATCCAGTGATCAGGGAAATAATGATAATGAGGCATCTGTAATATGGGAGTAAGTCCTGGCCGCTTCTTTTGCTCAACGGAAAAGTTTAGCTTGTAATCAGGAACACCACATTTTCAAAACAACGAATTAACTAGTGATTTCTCGAATGTGAGTATAAATTGTTGTTTAGCCGTGAACAGAGCGATTTGTTTTTAATAAATACTACACGAATGCATTTCAGCGCTCACTTTTATACGGAAGATTGTAGCTTTAGAAATCGATTGCTCTCCAGTTCTCATTGGAGTTATTTCAAAGGGGCAAACTGATCAAATTAATTCTGTTAAAATGTTTAATCAACAATTTACTAAAATGGGTCCAATTAGACAAATCGACGATTTCCTGTCATCCGAAAGCCGCCTAACTTTACCACTATTGTCCAGCTCATTCTAGCTGATGAAAATCAGTAGAATTTCATAAAGTGGATTACATGGTCAATGTACCGGATTGAAGTACAGTAGAGTGCAGCTCAGGAAACGAAACACGAAGTTCAAGGAAAGTGAACACGGGTTCGGTAATCTATGTGCACTGATTTACAGATAAACTGGGAGCGTGTACAACGTGCCTCAAATTGTGAGTAATCCGGTTCAGAACGGAACTAGATCCAGGTCAAGCCACTCACAAAACATAGTCAGACCAAAGATTGGGGAACACCAACGGAGATCGTGTTTAAAAGGATTAAAGCGACTGATCACAACCACTCAGTCCGTAAGGGGTTGTTTGCCGGAAATACAGGTACGGGTTTGTTAATGGATATGTGATACACAAAGTTGAACAGAGATAACTGCTGTAGTCCGAACTGGAGTTCAAGGCAAAGGAGATAAATAGGTAGGAAACCATTTGATTGAAAGGCTGACGCGGAATGAGTAATGTTTGGCCATATCAAGAAGGGGGGGGGGAGGGAAACATAGATCATGACTAGGGATTATAAACAGATTTCCTGTCACCGGAAAGCGTCAGGCTGTCCAGATAAAGCAAGAAGGCATCAGATGAAGGACAGGAATAAATTCACGAGTTTCGACAGTTACAGGACGGGTGAGTTTCAACCTGTTAACTAAAGTTCATCAAGTGAGTTGTTTTCAAATAGTGAGTATTCTATGGTCTAGGAGCGATGACCGAGAAATGGTCTGAACGGCAAACAGTCACCACAGTGCGGGTTGGCATTCAAACGGGTGAAAGGACTAACAGTACATAATGCCTGTGAACCGTGAATTAACTGATGTGTTCAATTTATCCAAACTAGTATACTTTTAGAATCAGGTTATTGGATCACAAAATATATCCATTATTCTCTCAGAGAAGTCTGAAAGTGGCATCTGTTTTTTCGGTACTTCTCATCAGGCCTATACAGTACACACAATCGAACATAATCCGTAGTGCAAGTACTCATACAGTTATTGTGATGATTGATGTTGAGACCTGTGCCCGGATGGACCAGTGAAGGATGAGTCAAACTGACGTGTCTGTTTCACGATTTTACTGCCCTTAGGCCAGGGCAGCAGTAGGGTCTTGACAAATTGTTTTTGCTAGCACAGTATTGGTTGGATTAGCCTGATCGCGGTCGCCTCGGCTGTGCACAGAATTCTTTGTCTCACCCCTTTTGATCGGTTATATGCTATCCGGTAGATGACCCTTAATGCCCCCCTCACGTGTCAGTTCGTGACCCGTGTCAAGTGCGTGGGATAGGAGGGCGGGATGATGATAGATTGTGCGGGTATATCAGAGTTAGCCAATGGCAAGAAAAAATAATAGCCGCACTTTACTACTCGCAAGTAGCTGTAAGCTGAACTGCAAATGTTTCCAACCTTCAGGTTCAAGCATTTGAGCAGCCTTAGCCATGCACTAGGAACATTTGTGTTCTTGATTGGCGTTGCAAATAGGGGTCTACAAGTGCTTCCGGTTTAAATTGACAACCAGAATTTTCCAATGTTTCCTC